CCGAGTTATGAACTTACCAGTAAAGAAACTTTGGCGGGCTCTTACGTGGGAAACACACGGGTAACGGTGCCCGTTTTGGGGTGGGGCCCGTACGTTTTGCATGTAGATTAAGTTCCCAAAGTTTTAGCCCTGTAGCTTTTGTAGGTCTTGAGATGAAAAATCATGACAGAGACACACACGGGCAAACAGACACACAGACAACTCCTCGTCAGTGTACGTTTTCTGCATTGTTTGTCTGCAAAAAACGCATAATAATAACTGGCCAGCGCACCAACTGCCGACCGAAGATGTGTATTTTGCACGGTTCCTAGCGAGTTTTTGTCACTAGCGGCACTGTGTTTTCTGACAGATGCTTCTAGGTAAAAGAACTGAGACTGCCCACCATGATTGTCAGAAACCATCCCCTTAAAATTTCAGCTTTCTAGCTTTTCTGGTTCCTGCGTTAGCAACTTACTCGCCAAAAGTTTCCATGAGACTGTACTTGGGAAATACGTTGGCAGGAACGTCCATTTTGGGGATGTGGCCCGTATGTGCATGTAAATTAAGTTTCCAAAGTTTCAGCCTTATAGCTTTTGTTGGTCCCTAGGTAAAAAACCGGTACAGATGAACACACAGACACATACACAGATAACCTATCGATAATATGAGTTTTTGCACGGTACAGGGGCAAAAAACGCATAATAAACGAATAGCCAGTTGTCTATAGCTATTGCATCATGTTCATCAGTTGAATCTATGTTAAAAATCTCTAATAACTATTAAATCAAAAGCCTTTTTGCATCCACACACTGCTACATCTCGTCGTGCAGTTTGTTGTTTCAGGCAGGCGTTGCGAGAGCTGTGCCCTGGGTTCGGGTAAAATACTGTTTTGTCGCAATGGTGGCCACTGTAGGGATAGAAAAGGATGTATTTGCCCATTGGGATTTAATGGCACAAAATGCGAAACTGATCTTTGCTCAGGTCAGTTTATTTCACGTACCCTAAAATCTCCGCTTTTTGAGTCACTGATAATGGTTTTCTCTGCGAAATATTAGATGCCAATAGTTTTCAGGTTTTTGTCTAAATGGCGGTATTTGTAAGCCGGTGGTTGCTGCAAAGTATGCCCTGCAAGCAGTTCGGTGTGCTTGCACAAGCGGATTTAGCGGTGAAAGATGTGAGGACGATTGGTGTCGTCAAAACGAAGGCTACTGTTTGAACAAAGGTGATTTATTTAGGAGCCTATAAGCATTTCAAAACAGCTGAAAATTATATAATATGTAAATCGCCACGTGTCCGATTGCACAAAGAAAGCAGATTTCTACGCGCTTATTTGTTCAACTAGAAGCTACGCAGACGCGTATTATCTGGACTCTGTATGTGTACGCTTGTTCGGACTTTTGTCTGAAATTCAGCAATCAGGAAACACGAGGAACCACAAGTTTTAGGCGAACGAGCAAACGAAGACAAATTGTGCAAGGAAAAATTTTAAGAGAAGTTTTCCTAGCACTGTACTGTCTCACCGATCTAAATCCAGCTTTCACATGCGCCAGCTTCGCATGCCCAAGTACGTGGAAGTTTCGGCCGAAAATTTACTAATTGGAGAACCAGATGCGAGTGCTGGAATTTTAAGAAGATTCTTACTCACCCTGTAATTTTAAACCCAGCTTCCGTATACGTCTCTGTATCGTGTTTGGGCATATAAAAGCTCAGCGGGGAACTTCTGTCCAACTCGGTAATTGAGTAAAGGCGAAACTGAAATTTTAGGAGCCATCTTAGAGTAATTTTGTGCGGGGAGAGACTGGACAGTACGGATAGTTTTTCCAATGAGCATGTTGTTTTAAAAATCCCTCTTGAAATGTAAAAAGCTTTTATAAAAATATAAATCATATTTTGTAAAAAGCTTATATAAAAATATATAAAGGAAAGTGCTGGCTTATTTTTAATGCGTTTGAGATGGTGTGTGCTATAAAAAAAGCCGATAAGAAAGAAAAAGCAGCAAATAAATCTGAGATGGACGAAGCAGATTACTGAATGGCAGCAAATTAAAAAAAAAGTAAGAAAGGCTGCTAGCATGGTGGCGAGTTTAGCTGACACGTCATTTTGTGTGAAAGAGTAAAATCAAAAAAGAAAACAGTTGAGAAATTGCTTGCTGCATCGATGACAAAAATGAATAGTATGATGAAACAACAGCTAATCGAAATGCTTAAGTAAAAGGTCTGCAAACGGCACAACATTTCCAGGTCGCTGCATTCACGATGCATTGAAGGGGCCATTGTGCATCTGCACCAGTAAATTTCAAGGAGAACGATGTG